ACGGTGCATGGTATCTGATGCATGGTGCATGGTACCTAGTGCCCAAAACACGGTACCTGGTGCATGGTGCATGCTATCTGGTGCCCAAAACATGATACCTGGTGCCCAAAGCATGGTACCCACTGCATGGTGCCTGGTACCCGGTGCCCGTTCCCACGCGGTGCTGCACGGCCGTGCCGGATGGGGAGCGCTCGGTGTGGCCGCGCAGGAGGCGTTTCCCAGCCCCACGCTGGCTGGAGGCCAAGGCTCCCAAATGAGCCTCCTTGCACCACACCGTGTGCTGGGAGCTCCCACTCACACCTCCCCGGTATAAAACCCCGCAGCAGCGCAGCGCGCGCACAGCCGGGACAGCCCTCGCAGCAGGTAAGTGACCCGACCCAAGCTGAGGGGGAGAAGGGGGGAGTTCCCCATGCCCAGGGGTCCGCCACCTTCCTCCCCAGCCCCCTCCCACGCTCGGCTCTGCCACGACTTGCAGGGACGCTCCCACCCCCGGGACGTGTCCCGGCAGCTCGGCGCATCCCAGGGCGTCTTCCTCGCCCCGACTCCGAAGGAGGGGAAAGCTCCCCCAAAGCCAACGCTGATCGCGACTCTCTCCCCCCCCCCCCGGCAGCACCCCAAGACCCCCCAGAGCAAAGGGACTGCAGACCCCACAGGAGGAGCAGCATGGGCCAGTGCAACTGCCGCAAGAAGCGCAAGGTCTGCGGGCGACGCCGGCATTGGGAGGGCTGGGAGCTGTGGGGTGTAGTTGGGGGGACAATCTTGTCCCCACCCCTTGGAGCTTGGGGTGCTCTGAGCTGTGCAACTCCCCCTCAGGATGAGTTTGGATTTGGGGTCTCTCCGGCCGGGATGAGTTTGGATTTGGAGATATTCCTCCGATTGGGGCGGACGGTGCTGGGAAAGTTTGGGGGTTTGGAGCTCCGTGCAGCCTCTCCGAGGATGGCAGAGTTTCCCCCCGTGCCCTTCGGACATGAGCATGTGCCCACCTGCACCCCTGGGGGGGGGCACTGGGTGCTCTGCACCTGCAGAGGCCTCGGTGGGGGGTGGGGGCCCGCAAGATGACTGGTTTCTCCCTAATGGCCCCATCGCATGATGTGGTTTCGGGGTGTTTCGAAGGGAAACCGCAGCGCCCCGTGAATCACCCTCGTTTCCCTTCCAATGCAGCTCCTGCTAATTAGCAGCGGGGTCGCGGAGCTGCTCCCTCCTTCCCCCCCCCCCCCCCCCGGACTTTGGGATTAGGGTCTGCAGCCCCGTAGGGTGGGGATGGGTGGCCCCGTGATGGGCACTGACTCACAGCTCCACTGCCACTTGTGCAAAGAGAGGAAGAACCCGTCCTGCCCCACGCGGGGGTGTGCGCCCGGGGATGGGGCGGGGAGCGGTGGGGGGGACGGGGCCACGGGGGGTCGTGTTGGGGTCCTGTGGGAGGGTGAAGGGTCACGGGAGCAGCGTGTGGGTATTGGATCGTACAGAGAATGGTGGATGGGGTTCTGGATTTATATGGGGGGGCCCCACGTCTGTAGGTGGGTCCCGGATTTGGATGGAGGGATCATGCAGTGGGACGGAGGGGTCCTGCATCTGTGCAGGGGGTCCTACAGTGGTGTGGAGGGGCGTCGCATCTGTATGAGGGTCTCAGGTCTCTATAGAGAGAGGTCAATACCGGTACGTGGGGGCTCACATCTGTGTGTGTGGAGGGGCTCACATCTGTATGGGGGCTCACATCTGTGCGGAGGGCCGTTGTACCCATAAGGAAGGCCCACTGCATCGGTGTAGGGCGGTGGCACGGAGCATTAACACACCTTCCACATCCCTCTTGGGGTGGCGCCTCCCTCGCGCCTCCCTCCTGGGGTGTCCCCTCCCTCCTGGGGTCCCCTCACTCCCTCTCAACCCCCTCTTCCCCATCCCCATCCTACAGGACAGCCAGGAGCTCACCGATGTGGAGCGCGCCATCGAGACCGTCATCAACCAGTTCCACTGCTACGCTGTGAAAGGGCAGAAGGAGTACCTGACCCCCAATGAGATGCGGGAGCTGGTGGTGCAGAAGCTGCCCCATTTGGGGAAGGTGGGGGCACAGCTCGGAGATCGGAGGGGGGGGGGGGAATGGGGGCCCCACCTCTTGTCATCGCTCTGATGGTTTTTCTGCCTCTCCGCAGTGCGTTGGACCCCTGGATGAGAAGATCGAGTGCATGGGAGACCCTGATGAGGCCAAACTGGAGTTCGGGGAGTACTGGGACATGATGGGGGATGCAGCCAAGGGCTGTCGGAGGAAGTAGGGCCGGGGGGGGGGGTGGGAAGGCGCCGCTTCGGCCCCATGCCACGAGGAGCTCCTCAGCCCCGCAGCGCCGCAGCGAGAGGGACTTTGCTCCTTTCCCCCAAACCCCTCCGATGTGGGGCTCCGGATCAGCACCGATGACACCGTCAGTGGTTTGGGGGTGTTTTCTGCCCCCCTCTCCTCCGTCCTGGTGACCGCAGTCCCTGCACGGGTGTGGGGTCCCCGTGCCCCCTCTGATGGCTGCGCTCGGGGTGGGCCGGTGGCGGGATGTCAGCTGCTTGCGGCACGTGCAACCGTTTTTGTATAAATTAATAAAGGAAAAAAATGGAAGAAAACAACAGCTGGAATGGGAAGGCCTTGCTCTGTCATGGGAAAAAGGGAGAGGGAGGGACGGGGCTGCGCTGCTGGGCTGCTCACCCCACTGCAGAGCACAAGGGTGCGAGGTGCAACGGGGGGCTGTGCACGTGCATGGGGTGCTGCCAGTGTGTGTGCAATGCTGCTGGTGTGCATGCAATGCTGCTGGTGTGCATGGCTCTGCAGGCGTGCAAAGGGCTGCATGGGGTGAGCGTGCATGGGATGCTGCGCGGCGCTGCGGTGCCCACGTCTGTGGTTCCCACAATGGGGACCCCACAGCAGCACCTGAGCTGTTTGTGTGCGGCTCACGTGCTGGACTGGGGGGGAACCCTGGTGTTTCTGAGGTTGGGAAGGTGTGGGGTCAGTGGACAGGAGCTGGGATTTCTGTGTGAAATGCCATATATCTGGGACGGGGCGGTGGTTCCCACTGAGCTCTGTGTCCTGGAGGAAGCCAGGGACGGGGATGGGATGGGGATGGGATGGGGGTGGGATGGGGATGGGTTGAGATGGGATGAGAATGGGATAAGGGACGGGGAGGGGTTGAGATGGGGTTGAGAAGGGGATGAGGATGGGATGGGGTTTGGATGGGATGGAGTTGGGATAGGGAATAGGATGGAGCTGAGACGGGGTTGGAAAGGGGATGAGGGTCGATGTGGAGATGGGATGGGGACCCAATGAGTGCCATCTCCGCCCCTGCATTGGTGTGCACCCTGTGCTCTGGGAAGGATAAAAACAGGGATGAAAAAACCCCAAAACCTGGAGAAAGGTGATAAAAGTGGAGCCAGGCCGGGGCTCCTCCCGACACCGCCACCGCGACTCGGCCGCGGCCGCCCTCTGTCTCCTCTCACCTTGGGGTGGATTTCACAACACGAATGACTATTTATTGTTCCTGCCTTGGAAATAAATACATGGAAATTAAGCCGAGAGGTGTGGTGTGCATTTAATTAGAGACAGGAAATGTGTCAAATGGTTGGGGTGATGGGAGGGGGAAAAGGAATAAGGGGCTGTGGGGTGCTCTGTGGTGGGAGGGGGACCCCAGAGTTGGGTTTGGTGACCCCAGTGCTGTCATGCGCTGTTGGTGATCCCGTGGTTCGAACCAGCTTGATAAGGATCTTTGGGGCAGGAAGAGCTCAGTCCCACGGCTGGGTAACTTGCGAGCCCAAGGAACACGGCAGGGGCACACTGAGGTGGGGGTCCAGGGGAAGAGGAGCTCACAGGGACGACAGAGGTGTCTGGGAACCGCCGTGTGACGGGGCCCCGATGCTGCACGGCGGCTCCACGCACACACCCTGGATGCCTTGTAAAAAATACGGGCTGCGTTGTGACATCGGCCCGGCACGGGGTAATGAGGGCTGTGATTCAGAGTGAGCTGTCTGCCCTCGGGGCCGGGGAGGGCTCCCACCCGACGGGATTGCAGCACCGGCACTGCGCTCCTCCTCAACCCGAGATCAGGCAGAGGGGAGCAGGGTTGACACACAACACTTTTCCGGGGCCCGGTGTCCCAAAAGCAGAGGTACCCAAGGAGCAAAGGAAGAAACGTGGGCGTCTGCTGCCCGGCGCCGTGACCTCCTCTTTGCATCCCAAAATATGCAGCTCCGGTGTCTCCGTATCTGATCTGCGCATTGGATCGCCGCGCCATCGCTGCGCCGACGCAGGGTGCAATTTGCTGGCCTGGTTAATTATGGCTGTGAGCTCTTGGCGCAGCCCTGCAGCGCATCGTCGGTCCTCCCCGTGTGTCTGAGGAGGGCTGCGCACCCTTCACCGTGAGCACTTTGGGTTCAGAGAATCCCAACCCAACCAGATCGTTTCCAAAGTCCCTCGGGCTGCGTGGAGATGGAATGACCCCAATGGATGGGTTCTGTGTTTGTGTCCCACTGCCACGCTCAATGCGCAACGCCGTGTGCTCACCCATCCGCTGGTGATAGACAAGGGCGATGTGCAGTGGGTTACGTGACAAAAAGAGGAAAAATGGGGTGGAGGAAAAAAATGAGAGAGGGATGGGGGAGGAAAGTCAGAATCTCTGCCCCTCGGTGCCGGCGCAGGCTCTGGGTTGGTGACACCCGGCCAAGGGAGGCAAACCCAAGCATCGAGTCATGGTCCCTTCTGTCTGTAGCACAAAGAGGGTATGGCGTACCCGCACGTGGAATGGGAGTAGGGGGGATTCAGCATTTGTGCACACGTGGAAGGGGAAGGGCAGCACGGATCCTTCCTCCATGGGTCGGGCCGTACCCCCATCGCTGCCACGTTGGCCCTTTGCGTCAGCGTCTCGCAGCAGAGGGGAACTCCACGCGGGGACAGCAGTGCCGTCCACCCCCCCCCATGCATCCTGCAGCCTCTTGGCGAGCGCTTTTGGTTCCCTAATTCCAGCTGCGAGCTCCGCGCGTGGTTTCCGTTCCTTCTTTGCTGCTAAGCAGTGCCCCGATGGTGGAGACCCTGAAACCATTTGAGAGATTTTCTGCTGGACCGTCGGGCGAGCGGCTCTCCCCACGTCGGTACGGGGAAAGGGTGGGATGGGGACCCAGGGGTGGCCCCGTGGGGTGGGCTCAGCGGCCCCACTGCGGTGTGTTGCAATCGGGGCTGCTTCCAGGTGAGCTGGGAACGCCCTGGGACGTCAGGGAGGGGCGGGAGCCTCCTTAAAGCCCTCGGGCCCACGGGATGGGCGCGAGGTGAGGACGAGCGGGCGGCACTGCAACCACGGCTCCGCGGCCGACAGGAGGACAGACGGACACAGCGGGACGGGCGGACGGGTGAGGCGCTGCGCCCAGCGACGGGTGCTGCGGGGGGAACGCTCAAAGGAACGTGTGGCTGCAAGCGGGGTGGAAATCCCCCCCAACCCCTCCCCGAGCCCTTCGGCAGCTCCATGCGCGCGGGGTCGGGCGGCGGATGGGGAGCTCAGCACAGGGGGTCTGTGGGGCTGTGGGAGGAGAGGAGAGAGGAGAGAAGGGAATCATCATGGCGGCAGGAACAGGCAGGAGATCAGCCCTGTCCCACCCACCCACGTCCCAGTGCAGGGACAACATCCCCACGTCCCGGTGTGGGATGATGTCCCCCCGACCCACCATGGAATGAAGTCCCTGTGCCCCACCATAGGATGATGTTCTGTGGCTCTGGGGGGTGCATGGTGGGACCGGTGCTGTGAATCAGTGTTGGAGCAGAGCAGTGGGGCCCAGCGGGGTCTTTGGTTGGAACTGCTGCAAACGTGGTGGTGTTTAACAGCCTGGGATGAGCAGAGGACAGAAGTGGAGGTCTATGGGGCTGCAGTGGGGGCTGCAGATCACAGCAAAACTTGCTACCAGCACCAGGCCCTTCAATGGCCCCGCAAATGGGTGGGGACAGCTCACGAGCACACTGAGACACAATGGGGAGAACCTCGTGCCCCGTGCTACCACCCCGAATTGCTTCCAAACCCTGCATGCAGCTGAAACGGGGAAGATGGGTGCAAACGTGGGGTGAAATTGGAGCGCGGTGGCACCGGGATGGCACCGATCCACCATGGGGTGGCTGCAACCGTGACCCACACCGCTCAGCGGTGGCACCAATCAGCACTGCAAGAAGCAGCATAGCTCTATGCTTTGCTCAGCCTCATCCCTGCTCAGGAAGGAGCCGGGACCGGACGGCGTCGTTTCCGTCCCCGCCTGTGTGCATCCTGCTGGGATGCGGCCACCGGACCCCGTGACGGCAGCAATCCATCGGGCACATCCATAGGAAGGGGCTCCATAGGAAGGGAATCCCGGTGTGGGGTGGCCGCGGGGCACAGCGGACGGACAGGGTAGGACTTTAGGGTTGGGGAACCCTTGGCTCGTGTGGCCCAGACCTATTTTGGGTGACGCCTCAACCGAGAGCCCCGCCGGGGTGTTCCTGAGCCGTGAAGCAAGAGGAGGGCCGGCCGGTAATTCCTGCCACTCCCTGCCCCATTCCAACCTAATGAGCCCTGGGAACCGGGCGCCGCGGTCCGGGCACCGCGGTGCCATAATTATTGCCGTCCCACGCGCCGGGGGCGGCCGCCCTGGAGGGCAGGTGGGGTGAGCAGTGCCATTTGGGGTGATAGAGAGCACCAGGTGCTCGACTTTGGGGTGGAAAATGCCTTGTTGGGGTCAAAAATGCTTTTTTGGGGTCACGCGCCTACCTCTGCGCTTCCTCATGGGTTTCCCTAAGCAGAAACCTTGCAAATGCCCCAGCCCTGACCCCCCTCCATCCTGCAGGTGAACGTGGGGCGATGGCGGAGGGCACGGAGCTGGAGTGGGCCGTCCAGGTGCTGGTGAACAACTTTGACAAATATTCGAGCCGCTGCTGCTGCCGGAAGCCGCGGCGCATCAGCAAGAAGGATTTCCGCAAGATGCTGAGCCGTGAACTCAACCACATGCTGACGGTGAGGCTGGGGGGGGGGACACGGGGTTGGCTTCGGGGTCCCCACACATCTTCCCCCTCACCCCCACGGGTTCAGGGTCCCCATACATCTTCCCCCCACGGTTCCCATGGGTTCCCACGGGTGCCAAAATCTCGCTCTGCCCCGCAGGACACCGGGAACAGGCGCGCGGCCGACAAGCTGATCTGCGACCTGGATGAGAACAAGGACGGGCGCATCAGCTTCGAGGAGTACTGGACCTTGATAGGTGGCATCGCCAGCCCCATCGCTCACATCATCCGCCAGCAGGAGCAGAGCATCAAGCTCACCAAGTAGCTGGGCTGGGCCTGACCCCCCCCCCCCAGACCCTGAGCTCAGCCCCCGCTGCTCCACAGCCCCTCTGCTTTGTGCCCCTCCTGCCCAGGGCACGCAGAACCCCAAACATCAGAGTAAAGAGGCACGAGGTCACCACGGAGGGCTCCTCCTGCATCATCCCTGTCCTCATCCCCCCCCCAGAGCTGGGCTGGAAGCGCAGGGAAAGGCTTCCCCCTCACCTAGGACAGAAATGCTGTCCATTCTCAGCCCACCCCAACCAGCACCCCCTGTGCCCTCGGAGCACCCTCTCCTCCTCAAAGCCTTGGAGTTTCCACGGGGTATCCCCCCAACTCCCCTCCTATCCCCCCCCCACCCCCCGGGGCTGGTGAAGGTCTGCCCTGCCCACCCCTGGGGCTGGGAGCTCCCGGCTGTGGCCGCGGGTTATTTATTGCAGCAATAAAGTTTGGAGGAGCAGCGGGGTCACGGCGAGGATGGTGAATGCGGTGGGGATGGGGGCACCGAGTGGGAAGGGGGGAGGGGAGGAAGGGTCCTCCCTGTCCCCTAACGACTCTCAGCGTGTCACCACGAGGTGTCACCACTGCCCGTGTCCGTGAGGCTCAGTCGCGATGCGTCCCGGTATGGAGTCCCCATGCCGTTCCCAAAGTGATCCCATCCCGCAGCCCCACCTCTGCGTACCCCAATGGGACCCCCGAGCTCCAGCGGGCACAGAGGTGTCCCCTGAGCTCCCACGGGGGCATCCCGTGCCCCCTTCCCCCCACATCCTCCAGCACAAGGGGGTGGCAGCACTTCGGGTTGGGGGAGCTCCCACCCATCCCGAATTCCGCCCTCTCCGCACCACCGCCGCGCAGCCTCCCGTTTTGCCCCGGGGATCCCGGTGGGGTTTTGAGGGGGGGGACGGAGGTGAGGGGGGGAATCCGTGGGAGCCGCCTGCGCTGAGTCAGTGCTCAGGAATCCCGTCGGGGCGCGGTGGGGCCGTGACTCACAGCGCTGCTCCTGGCCGGGCCCAGCGCAGCCGCTATGCGGGATCGGGAACCGCAACCTCCGGGTGCGGGGAATCCCACGCATCCTTCCCGCCGCAGAGGGGCTAAGGAATGCTCCCCCCCACCCCCGTCCGGGTCCGGTGAGGGGACAGTGCCTCCCGTCCCCGTGTCCATGCGGAGGTCAGCTGTGCGCATCCTTTGGGAAGGAGGGCTCTACAAAGTTGTGCACCCCCCGCCCATCCCCGTGGAGATCCACAGCCTACGGTCCCTGGGAGCTGCAGCTCAGTACTGCTGCCAGTGAGGGGCGGGGGGGGGGAGGGCGGTGCCAAACAGGCCCTGCCTCTCCTTGGGACATCAGGGGAGGGCGGTACCCATCCTCCTGTGTCCATCCATGGCACATTTGGGGTCTGTGGGACTCCCCCCCCAGCCCCGGGGACAAACACCGCCATCATAAACACAGCTCCAAATGCGTGCTCCCCATGTACCCCCTCCCCCCCCCCCCCCCCCCCAACCCGCCGGGGGGGGGGGACACCCCCAGAGCTAGGCCACCCCCAACCCGGCACAAAGAACCAGGAAAGGCCCTGAGCGTGGGCCACCACCGCTGTCACCCTCACCAGCACTCGGGCAGGAGGGTGACAAACGTCGGCAGCCCATGGGGTGTGCACAGGGACACAGTTTCCCCACTCCCAGCACAGCTTTGGGGTGGGGAGCGGGCTCAGACCCCTGCAAAGTGCTCCCCACGTGCAGAAAGCTCCACCTGTGCTGCTCACCTCAATCTCAGCTTACGCTGCAATGATTGCTGCCATTGCCACCCATCCCTTGGCACTGGGGACACCGGAACCACCGCCAGCACCCAGAGTACGGTGGCTGAGCACGGGATGGGGGCTGCTGCCTGATTTCTGCCCCATCCCCACGCTCACCCCCAGCCCCCTCCCCCTTCTCCGATTAATGGCATCACGCAGCTCAGTGAGCAAAAATGGGGCGCGGGCGAAACCCAGGGCTGGGAACAGCCGGGGGCGAGGGGCTGCACCCCCCGACTGCCCTATAAACACCAGCACACAGTGACAGTGGCACCGACACCCCGGCTCCTGCTGTCCCTGCTCAGCATCGACCCCGGTGAGTCCCTTTTTGCCCTCGATTTACTCCACAGCTGCAATTTGGGGAGCAGATTCCGCACCCTTTTGAGGGGCGCATCCATCCGGGTGGGTTCCCCTCACGGTCACCCAGCTGTGTCCCCACGCAGGTGATGATGGCGTGTTCCTTGGAGCAGGCGTTGGCTGTGATGGTCTCTACCTTCCACAAATACTCGGGGAAGGAAGGGGACAAGTTCAAGCTGAGCAAAGCGGAGCTGAAGGAGCTGCTCACCAGGGAGCTGCCTGCTTTCGGCACCGTAAGCGCACGTAGGGACATGGCACAGCCACAGCCTGGTGTGAGCAAAGCAGCCCCGGGGCCGTGCATGGAGCAGGGGGTGGGGGGCTGCGTGCTGCCCCATAGCCCACCCAAAGGAGGGACCCCATGCCTGGGGCTGGAGCAGACACAGACCTGTGGGTGCTGGGATGGCAGCGGCAGAGCGATGCTCCCATTTCAGTCGCTTTTTTTCCTCCTGCCTATGGTTTGATTGAGGGGGGGGGTGGGGGTGGAATGGGCAAAACTTATGAATGAAGAATGCATGCAGCCTGCAGAGCTCCTAAATGCCACCTCCCTTGGGAGGGAAAAGAAAAAAAAAACCCCTCCTCTCACTGTAAGAATGGAGGGAACTGGGGGCTTCCATCCATGTCGGCATGGAGACACCTCCCAGCCCCCAAACCTGCTGCCCCCATAGAAGCAGATGGATGAAGGGGAGTTCCGGCGCCTGATGAACGACCTGGACCACGACAAGGACAGCGAGGTGGACTTCAAGGAGTACGCCTGCTTCCTGGCCTGCGTGGCCATGGGCTACAACGAGTTCTTCCGCGAAGCCCAACGGCCCCGCAAGAAGTGAATCCCACTCAGCACTGCGCAATAAAGTCCTCCCAGAGCCTCACGTGTGACTCATGCCTCCGTCTGTCTGTCTGTCTTCTCTCTCTCTTTGGGATTTTCCACTCTGCAGCTCCCCAGAGGCGCTTTTGGAAAAGGCTCAGAGCTGCCCCTGGGCGTAAAGCTGAGATCTCCGCTCCCTCCCACCCCCAAAATGTCACTAAGGAGGGGTTTGGGGTGCAATGAGCTCTGAACACAGAGCCACCCCCCAGCTCAGCACAGGGGTGGGAACCAGGCAGGAACGAGCAACGTTCGTGGAAGGAACTCAACGAGACCCACACGCTGTGCTGTCATGGGGGGTAGGAAATGTTGCTGGGTGCCCAGAGGGACCCTCAGCCCCTGGAGCTGAGGATGAACCCACGCTGGGGGACAGGAGGTGACCCCAACTCCATTTTGCTGCAGGCAGCTCCCCGTGCGCACAGCGCGGTCACTCCAGGCGGGTGAGCTGGGCTGGGCTGCCCTCCCCAGCAGAGGGAGTCAGGGTTGGTTCGTAGGGAGAGCTGTAGCTGCTCCCAAATGGCCCCAAACCCACAGAGCACACCTCGGGTCTGACATGGGGCAGAGCATCCCCAGCACAGCCCTCACTAAGACCCTGAACATCCCCCAATCCTCATCGAGACCCCACGTCCCATCATGTCCCCAATCCTCATCGAGACCCCACATCC